GTCGTGTCGGCACGGCGGCCTCGGCCCCAGCGAAGGCGCGCAGGGTCGAACGCCGCCAGTGCCCAGGAATCGGCCGGCATCGCGCACGGTCGACGCCCTCGGAAAGCCACGGTCGTTCAAGGTTTAACAATCCACGCGGTGTCAGTCAGAAACCAACGCCCACGTTGCCACGGCACGAACTTGCCGCACCCCGTTTCTGGGGCCCTCGGGATCCAGGATCCCCTATCCCCCCCTCCCCTCGGAGACTACAGTGGGTGTGGCTACGCCGGGGTGCGGTTTGCGATGGGCGCCGTTCGGCCTTGGGGGTCACTACTTTGCGCCACCGCTCTGGTCAGCCCCGTCGGGGCGCGGCAGAGACCTTTGTCGAGGTCCTCGCCCGCCTTTCCCCCCGCTCCCACGCCGCCGAGGCAACAGAGCGAAGCGCACGTGCCCGCGGCAGGTGTTGCACCAAATTTGGAGCAGGAGGAGGAGGAGGAGGAGGAGGAGGAAAGACGCCAACAGACCCCCCCCCCGGCGCGGGTCTCAAGCCACGCCCTCTGCAAACCGCACCCCTCGGAGTCGCCGATCCCCTCCGCCCCTGCGCCCCCCCCCCACACCACCCTTTCCCTCCTTAGGAGGCTCCGCGGTCCAGGTGCCGCCTGCTGGGGGACGCCGACTGCTGCAGAAGCCAAGCGCTGCCCTCCTCCTCCTCCTCCTCCTCCTCCTCCTCCTCCTCCTCCTCCTCCTCCTCCTCCTCCTCCTCCTCCTCCTCCTCCTCCTCCTCCTCCTCCTCCTCCTCCTCCTCCTCCTCCTCTCCTCCTCCTCCTCCTCCTCCTCCTCCTCCTCCTCCTCCCCGCCTCCTCCTCCTCCTCCTCCCCCCGCCTCCTACCGCCTCCTCCTCCTCCTCCTCCTCCTCCTCCTCCTCCTCCTCCTCCGCCCCCAGCGGCTGCCTCGGCCTAGCCGGTCCTGGGCGTGTTTTGCTGGCCAGGCCAGGGCGGGGCCGTGCGCCTCCGGCGCTGCGCAAGTGGGGGGAGCGGCGAACGGTCGACGGCGAGGCCAGGGGGGGGGGGGGCGAGGGGGGGGCGGGCCTTCTCACCACCTACCAGACCACCCCAACCCAACCCGAAGGCCTCCCTATTTGCCCTCCATTTCCAGTGGGGGGGGGTCGGGGAGCGTCTAAAAAACACATGGAACCCGTACCCCCCCCCCCCAACCCGAAATTCGGGTCAAATTCGGGTCTTCGGGTTGGGTTGGGGTGGTCTGGTAGGTAGCCACCTTCTCAGAAGGTGGCGGGGCTTCTCAGAAGTTCTCGCGCCTTCCGAGAAACTTCCTCTGCCTCCGGGGAAGGCTCAGAGGGCTTCTCAGCAGGCCCGAGGCCTTTCGAGCCTTCTGAGAAGGCCTGCTCCTTCTCACCTCCCCCCACGGCTGCGCCGCCGAAAGTGCTTGGTGAAGAAAGGTCTGCCTTCTGCACATCTTGGGGGCCCGAAAGGGGCAACGGAGGGGCGAGGAAGGGGCTCGTCCTTTTTGCGTACGCACCGATTCGCGGGCGTCGAACGTATCCATATCCAAGCCCTCGCGGTCTGGATTCTGGGGCGCGTTCCCGCGGAAACGCGGTCGGAAACGGACACGCTCCGTGCGGGGCACCCGCGAGAAAGATCCACGGGGTCGCGGCCCAGGGCCCCGGCTTGTGAGGCCAGGGATGGGCAGGTGTTTTTATCGGTATCTTTTATCCGATCCCCATCCCCATCCCCATCCCCTTCGAGACCCCCCACCAAATTACCACCACAGTTGGGGATACACCCCTCGAAGCCCGAAGGGAACTGCCTATATCCCCGTCTAGGGGGGTGAATCGGCCAGTGGTGCCCAGGCCACGCCGCTGGGGATGGGGATCGGATAAACGATATTCACTATCGCTCCCGACCGATCTTAGGTCCATGATGCCCTGACACCCTCGCGCCGTGAGCAAAACTTCGACGGGAGTTTTTGCAAGTTTCCGGCCTCCGGGGGCCATTGCCGGGCGCCACTGGCGTAGCGACTTTGGGTTGGAAAACTTGAAGCTGGCCAACTTTGGTTACAGTATGGTGTAAGTTGATACATAGCTAAGGTCATCTGAAGAACTGGCATGCAACTACCCAACTTGATGTTAGCTCAGATGGTTGCATTGTTTACCACTTGTAAATGCAGCTGCCCAAGTTACCCAGGGATGTGACTATCGTAGCTGCGAGTTGTAAGTTGCAGGCCAAAGAACTTATGTGAGTTACAAATAACTTGTAAACGACTTGCAACTGGGTGAAATAAATTAGCTTTGGGCTCCTTTGGCAACCCTCGAAATTTTTAAATATCGCACATTATCCTTCCCCTCTCCCCACTCCTCCCCCGCGCCCCCCCACCCCCCCGACGCCGCGTGGCTGCTGAGGCTTCGGATCGCAGACCGAAGAAAGAGGCGGATTGCGAGGAGGATGAGCGATTCAATCGCTGCTAGTGAATTTTTGTTGATGAGCGATTCGATCGCTGTCCTGGCAGATGTTGTTTTCCGCTCATTGCAAAGCAAGAATGTCGCCAAAGGCGAGCTCCGACCAAGCGTGGCACATCTCAACCGATTCGCCGCTCCACCACGCAAGAAGCAATTCGCCGTCCTTCCGCCGGACTGACGCGTTCGGCGTCCGCTTCTCGATCACGACGCACTCGTGCCCAAGAATGAATAGATCGTCTCCCCGTTGGCCCAGAGCTGCGACGCATTAAAAATTGTTCTGCATGTGCACCACGTCGCCTGCCCAAGCAAGCAAGCCTTTGGAAGCAGCGCTGGATGAAAGGACGACGTCGCCGCCGACTGCTTCAGCAAGCAGGGGCGACAACTCCGCATCGCCCCCCCTGAGCCCTGGGCGCTCGTCGAAACTTGCGAACTCCTGCAGGCGCGCCAACAGCACGCGAGAAATTGCAGCTTTCTCGAAGCCTCTCAGTATATCTTGGTTGTCCAGAATCATTTTCGGCAGAAGGTGCGACCTCTCAACAACGGAGCAATCCAACACAACGTCGAATTTCTCCACTTGCTCGGGAATGTGCGTCGTCAAATGAAACTTTGGTTTCCAATTGTCGGCCCCGTGTGCTTTTCCACGTGCGTCCGCATGGCGAACATCTGCAGCTTCGAGGGCCGAGGCATCGATGTCGCCCGCCTTCGTCCTTTTAATTTTGTCAATCACAGCGAAGCAATGGCAGAGGGGCGCAACCTCGTCGCGCAGCTCATCGAAATTCGGCAAGATAACGATGCAATCAAAATGCCGCACCAGCGGGTAAACGCACAACAACTCTGAGGCGCTGCTTCGCCAATGCTCCTTGGATGCGTTCTCCCTGGCCTTGCAGAAAACAACGTGGGCCTCCCGACACTTGCGTCGGTGTTGCTGGGGGAAAGATCTGTCTGCCTGGCAGTGCCGCTCCAACTTCGGCTAGATGTCTCTCAGAGCAGGAATGGCTCGGCATGCCGACATGAAGCAAAAAAATTCCTGGGACGCAACACCATTGCACACATATACATGCATCCAACCAAAATGGAGCGACGAAACAGGGCCGACCTGCCCTCGGAGGTCTGCGTCCGCCAACAACCCATCAGGTTTTCAATTGATTCCGCGTGCTTTCTCGTGGCGCACCAATGCGGCTTTCGATTTTGCCCCTTGTAAGTGCGTCAACTCGTCGTGGGCTCCCCATGCGGCCTCGTCAGAATTACAAATGAATGCGCTGCGGCCCCTGCATGCGATTTCCGCCAACCGATTGGGCGCGGCGCAAACAATGCCTGAGCCTTTCTTGAGCACGTTGGCGCACTTCAGACACGGTCGGATCCTTGCAGATCCTTTCACGCCGAGGCCCCTGGACAAAGCGACCTCGTCTCCCAAGTTTACGGCAATTTCGCGCAGAACATGGTCGGCCCGCTTGGTAGCGGCAAGGCCACGCCACCCGCGAGATTGCCGTCCTCAAGAAGCAAGCGACGCAGCAACCACCTGATCGCGCCCGAGAGGCCACCGCGCATTTTCTCTACTTGTGCCGACCTGATCACGCCCAGGGGGAACCAACCGCATTCGTGCCGAAGGGCATGCTTGAATTCTAAAAACGAAATGTAAAATGCAACGAACTTCCTGCGGTTATGCGGGCGCAGCACAGCTCCAGGCGCGACCTCGTCGCGCGCAAGGATCACGTTCCACGGCCTTGCTGGGGTGATAGGCGCGGCCGCGAACATGCGCTTCAGCGCTGGGGACACCTCGGCTGACCGTTGAACCAAGCGGGCAGGCCTCAGCGGGATGCGCCAAGCAGGCGCGCCGCGAACCCCCAGCACCACCCCCTCCCGCTCGGGGGGGGGAAGGGGGGGATGTGTGGAGGGGGAGGGAGGGGCAGGGGGAGAGGAGAAAACTGGCACCAGAAAACAATCCAGATGCCGCTGTTGATTTTTTTGCGGCCCAAGAAAGACGCGCTGCTTGGCGCGCCCCGCGGCGCCCTTGCAATGCGCCACTCGAAGGGTCCGCCGTCGCACAGCGGCAATTCCAGAGAACACGACATCTCTCTATCGTACTCCATCGTCGCGGCGGCCTTGGCCTCATGCGCAGAGACTTCCTCTTCGATGGGCGCTTGCCTCGGTCGGCGGAGGACCTCGCACAAACCAGCGCACGTCGCTCCTGGAATGGCCACCAGCCTCCCAAGGCGGCGGCGCTTCTCGAGAACTTGCTTACCCATGATGGCCACGCGGGTGCTGGGGCGCGGGGCTCGGGCGCTCCTGAGCCCAAGCGCTGAATGTAAAGCAGGCGAAGGGTTCAAGCCGCCGCGCCGAGCGATTCAATCGCTTCCGAGCGAGGGCGCCGCTTCATAGCGAGTGCGTCGCCAACGAAATGAGCGATTGATCGCCTGGCCCCCGCCCCTCTGCACCGAATTTCTTCTCCGACGCCGCATCTCAGCCCGAGAGATGTCAAGAAACTTAGGCGGCCACTCGTGCAGCATGCTCGTTGCGGCACTTCCTCCCCTCCTCCCGCAGGGGGGCCTCAGTCGTCGAAGGTGCTGAGCGCCGTCTCCGCCTGCGCGCACTTCTTCTCAGCCGCGTCTGCCTTCTCCTTCACCGTCGCAAGCTGAATGGACAGCACGGCGTTCTTGGACAGGGCATCCTGGGCCGCGGCCGCGAGAGCGTCGAGGTCCTTGACGTGCCACGCCAGGGCCTTGCTGTGGCCCTTGTGCAGCTTGCTTGCTCTGGGGCTGTTCAACAACCCTTTTGCCTTGAAAGCGAGCGGGCTCACCTTGGCCAGGATCTTGACGGCGTCGCTCATCATCTTCTTGGTGGCTGAGGTTGGCGAGAGTTGCTCCTTTCCCTTGCCTTTGCCTTTGTTCTTGCCTTGGTGCTGCTGCGAGCTGGCGCTGCGCTCCTTGGCGGCGATAAGGGACTCGCGGACCTCTTCCTCAACGCTTTTGTCGCCCTTGTAATCAATGTTCACGCAGTAGAGCGTGCCGGGGACTTCGTCTTCTTTCTTGTCTTCGCACAGCCTCTTAATCCTCTTTGCGGAGTAGCCCTTCTTCTTGTAGACGCTCAGTGGGAGGTATTTCCTTTGCCTGCCTGAGGCGCGCGCGGCTCTTCGCGGTATACCCTCGTGAACGTTTCCATCGCAATCTTCTCGACCTCTGCCTTCCCGTTCGCCTCCTTGACGTCGTTCCAAATTTTATCTTTCTCTTCTTGTGAAAGCGACTTGAAGGACTGTGGCGGCCACCCTCCGAAAATCCTGTGGAGCTGAGTGTGCCGCGAACTGCGCGTTGAGCACTGCCAAACATTCTTTTTCTTGCCTACAAGCCTTGCTGCGAGCGGCTCCACGGGCTTCTTGCACTTGGCGCAAACGGGGTTGCGATCGAAGCGCGGCACCGCGTCGGTAGCCCTCTGACCAGGGGCAGCGGCGCTCGGTGGCTGGACCTCGGCGGGTTCTGTCGGGACCTCCGAGCTCCTCGGCGCGGCCGTTTTCTTGCGTTTCTTTTTGGCGGTCTTGGAGCGCTTCCCCTTGTTATTCCCCTTCTTCTTTTTCTTGGCCTTCTCGCCGCCCTCGCCGCTGACGCCGTAGTCGGCGCCCTCGGCGCCGTCGTCTCCGCCAGTTCCGGCGTCGCCTGCGTCGGCGCCGTCGCCGTCGGCGTCGGTTGGCCAGCCTTCGGCGCCTTCGGAGGCCCTCCTCTTCTTGCCCCTCTTCTTCTCAGCTGCGGGCGCAGCCGCGCCGCTGCGGTCGCCTCCTTCGTCGAGGTGTTCGGGTTTGGGCCCCCACTCCCAGGGCCAGTCGTGCTCCTCGGGCGCAGGGCCTGCATCTGCCTTGGCTGCCCTGGCCCTCGTTTTCTTGGGAGGGCGCTTGGCCTTGCCTGCGCGGCTGGCACCGTGAGCGGCCACTTCGGCGGCCTCCTCTGGGGCCACCCCTAGCTCCTCGGCAAGTTTCCCTGGCTCCTCTGGGGCCACCCCTAGCTCCTCTGGGGCCACCCCTAGCTCCTCGGGGGGCTCCTCTGGCCCCTTGGGGGGTTCCTCTTTCGCGTCGTCTAGCTGCCCCGCACGGTCCGCCGAAGCCACAGCGGAGAACTCGAACAGCGAGCGCTGCTTCCTGACCTCCACGCGCTTGGGCGGGGTGGAGACGCGCGGCGGGGCGGCAGCCGACATCTGCTGCAGCAGGCTCCCCACAGGCGCGTCCATACCTCGGTTGCGCGAGCGCTCCCGAGCGACCCGAGAGCAGGGCGCGCTGCTTTGAGCCCAGAGCGGCTGCAGTAGGGCCCAGTGGCGTCGTGAGCTCGGGGGCGCGTCTGAGCGAGCGAGTCGCTAGTCTGAGCGAGTGAATCGCTTGTCTGAGCGAGTGCATCGATAGTTACAGCGAGTGCATCGCTAGCCTCAGCAAGCGAAACGCGGTCTCAGCGATCCTCGCTCTCTCGCCCCCCCCCCGCCCCCATCCAAACAGGAAAGCGCAAACCACGGATGGCGACGTCACGTTGGACCACCGTTGGACCGCCCGCGTTGGACCCCCGTTGGACCACCGTTGGGCCACGTTGGACCACCTTCTGTTGGACCACCCATGTTGGACCACCGTTGGACCACCAATCGCCGTTACGCTATGGTGCTACTGCTGTCCCTCCTCTTCTCTCCCACTCCTCTTTCTCTCTGCTCTGTCCTTCTCGGGCACTGGCTCGGGCTCGGGGTCGGGCTCCGACCTGGCCTTCGGCTCGGGCTCAAAGCGCGGGCTCGGGCTCGGCCTCGGGCTCGGATTCGGGGCCCATGCCCCCCCCCCCCCAGTCGCGCCACAGACGCCGCCAGAGGGATCTCCACGCCGGCTTCTACAGAAAAACTACCCGCAGGCCCCTGCGGGAAAAGCCGCGGATCACTCCGACCAAAATGCGTCCTCCTGGACCTCGGCCTCCGAGCATCGGCCCCCGATGCGGGCCTCCTCTTTACTTTCTCTGTACTTTCTCCTCCCTCCCCCCTCCTCTCCCCCCTCTCCTCTTGGCGGGTCGCGCATGGGCGGGCCGAAGAGGAGCCAGCGATTCGATCGCTCAAATGGGGTTTCGAGGAAGAGCCAGCGATTCGATCGCTCAAGTTGGGTCACGAGGGTGCTATTCTTTTCTCAAAGAAGCCGCGGGCTTCCGAGACAGGCCGAGCGCAGGGCAGCAGGCCGCGTCTTGGGGTGGCTCAGCCCACGCGGCGCATGCAGATGCTCTCGAGCGTCTTCTTGGCGCCCGAGATCGCAGCAGCGCTGTCCTCGAACGCCGTCGCTGCGCTGCGTGCGATGGTCGCGGCGTGTTCCGTCGCCGTCAGAGACCTGTCAAGGCAGCCCGTGACCTGCTGCAGCTCGCCCTTGCGCACCGTGATGTCTCGCGTCACCACTGCCTTCGACTTGTACTGGCCGACTGGTCCTGAAGACCGCTGTTGAACGGCCCGCCTTTGCGGCGGTTCCTCGGGTGGCGTGCGCTCCTTGCTCTTCTGCGCGCCCAGCTCGTAGACAATGTACGCGTCATGATTTGCCTCCTGCAACGCCGCCTCCCACTCGAGGGTGTTGTCGACGTTGTGGTAGGGAGAAGACCACAAGTGGTTCGCCACCTTCTCCTTCACGACCTCCCTGTCAGGGCCCTGGAAGAGGCAAGAACCACCTTTCGCGCAAGCGCCGCGAGGGCAAAAGCCGCGCCACAGCCATTCCGCGCCGCTAGAGCTCGCGGCCTCCGACGGTCCATCCATCGCTGCCCGCCGAGCGCGCCTTGGCCCTTGGCCGCTAAGAAAGAAAACCGCTTTGAATAGATTGAGCCCAGACGAATGCAGATGACAACTCGCGCGGCCCGCCCCATGGAGCGAATGCAATCGCTGAGAGGAAATGCAACGGGCAGGGGCGTAAGGATGCCGACGCATCGAAGGGGGCTGAGCGAGGAGGTCGAGCAAGCCGAGGCGACCGGAGGGGGGGGGGACGGCCCGCCGAATCTGGGGCACTTTTTTGCGCGTGACAGCCCAGAGAGCGTTGTGAAGGAATGCCCCGCCAGATTTCTCACAGAACTCCCCGTGGGATCTCTTCAGAATCAAGATCCACTCTTGCCTTGCGTTTCTATATGTTGAATCACTCGCGGGCTCGTTTATCAACAATATATTCTGCACTCTCTGCGCGCACAAGGGACAAAGAGAAATAGAAGAGAGAGGGGCAAGGATAAGTAGACGAGAGAGGTGACCTGCATGGCGATTCAATCGCTTGTGAACTGCATAGCGAGTCAATCGCTGGTTTTTTGTCTCAAATGTCCTCGAGGGCATCAGTGTTCCAGGCGGCCTGCGCCCGCGGCGCCCGCGTGCCCTCGGGGGCGCTGCCCTTGCTGCCCTTGCCGTCCTTGCCGCCCTTGCCGCGCTCGGAGAAGGCGCCGCCCTTGCTCTGCTCCTGACCGTTGCCGCTCTTGGAGGAGGCGCCCTTGCCGCCGCCCTTGCCCTTCCAGTCCGAAGGCCGCTTCGGCGCGTGGCCTGCTTGCCAGCCCCAGCCGCCGTAGCCGTACTTCTCCTCGAAGAACTCCCTGGATGAGCCACCGCGTTTCTTCCGAAGCCGCTCGCCTTCTGACCATCTGTTGCCGCGCCACATCGTCGGCCCCCCCTCGCTTGGAGGAGGCGGGCCGCGCATGGCCCATGGCACGCCGAACTGCCTTGCCACGTCCGACTCGTCCCTGAGAGCCTGCGGGGAGTTCCACAAGGCGGTCACCCTCGCTTGCTTGCGCCTCTTCTCCCAAGGGTCCTCCGCTTCGCCGCCGCTGTCGGGCTCGCCCATGCCGCTGGCGCGCCACTCGCCCTTGCAGCCTTTGCCTTTGTCGGCGGCGCTCGGCCTCTCGGACTCTGAGTCTGAGATAGGACTCATGCGCGATTCGTCGCCAGCGCCCCCGCTCTCCTTGCTTTCACCCGCCTCCTGGGCCCCATCCTGGAACTGCGCAAAGGGGTTGTCCAACGACAACAACGATTGCAGTGACCTCCCCGCGTCGTCGGCCATTGTCGCTGGCGCGGCCGCCGAGGCCTTGAGCCGAAATGGCAATGCGAAGGCGCGGTCGCAGGGGCGCTCCGCGAGCACGCGAATGCATCGCTGCCGCAGGATTGAGGTGGAGGGAGTGCTGCTTCGATGGGGGGTCGGAGGAAAGCGAATGCATCGCTGACGCGGGGTTGGGGGTTGGCTTGAGGGGTCGAGGCCCCCTCCATCACTCCCCCCTCTCACCCTCCTCTCCCCTCTCACCCCTCTCACCCCTCTCACCCCTCTCACCCCTCTCCAAGTCATCGGTCCATCACTCTCCCCTCTCACCCCTCTCACCCTGTCTATCTCCCAAGCGAATGAATCGCTTAGCGAGTGGATCGCTGTTCTTTTTATCGCAGACAAAGGTAAGACACGCCCTCGCGAGAGTAAAAGAGAGCGGCCGGGTTCCCTGGGGCGCTCGCGCGGCTTACCCAAACGCTAGGATGCGCTCTCCAGGGCCCCATATACAGAAGCGCGGTAGCGAAATGCATTGGACGCGTGACTATGAGCAAAGTGCGCGGCGGACCCAGCGCGGCCGAGAGCGCCTCAGGAAACCTACACACATTATGAGCTACTTACCCAGCAGCTTCGAAATCCTGAGCCGCTCTTTGCAACTCGAGCACCCCATTTTGGCGTAACGACACTTCGAACACCCGAGCTTTTTGGTGGGCTTGAACAGGGGTGACACGGTGACGCCCTTCCCGTGGCTTTTGCCCGTCGTTTTAGCCCCAGCCTTCGTCGCCTTTGCTTTCGCCTTCCCCTTTGCCTTCCCCTTTGCCTTCGGCATCGGGCCCTCCCCCTTCTCCTTGGTCACGAGTCCGTGCAGGATGTCCTCGGTGACCGAGGCGACACCCTCCTTCTTGGGGGGAGTCTTGTTCCCTTTGGCGACGCTGGCTGCTGCAGGCGTCGCTGGCGACGGTGGCGTTGGCGCTGCTGGCGACGGTGCACCTTCTGAGGCGGAAGATGGAAGAGAACTCGGGGCGGCGCCCCCCGCGGCTGCGAACGCCGAGGCCGCGGCACGTTTCGCGCCGCCTCCCAGGATCTTGAGGTTCAAAGGGCCCGTCTGAGCGCCGACGTCCGCCCGCCGCAAGTTGTCGAACATGAGCTGCATCATCTGCAAAACGTCGGGCTGCGACGCCGAGGCGCTCATCATATGTGCCCCCGTGGCCTGCTGCTTTGTGTTGCGGCACGGGTACGTGTCCTGGACGGAGCGAATCGCGGCTTCTGGCGCGGGGCATGCCGCTGGCAATTCGTCGCCATACACTTGCTTGAAGACGCCAGGGCGGTTCTCCCAGAACGTCGAGGGGGACGCAGGCAGCTCGGTCAGCCGAACGGGGGGCGCAGGAAGCTTCGAAACCTTCGTGGGTGAAATTGCGGCCAGGGGAGGGGGGGGAGAATTGGAACAGCTGGGGTAGGCGTGGTCGACGACGAGGGCCGCAATTTCACCCGCAGCCTGGCGCTTGAACACGCGCTTGGTCTGCTGGAGGTACGAGTACTTTGCAGCCCGCGCCAAATTCTTCGCGGCCTCGGCTCCGTCCACGGCCATGCGCCACATCGCCGTCAACATCTGATGCGTGCCTTCGGTCGGGCTGCGAAGCCCCAAGCTAATCGCAACATCAACCAGCACGTTGAGCTTCGCTTCCTCGGGCACGTCGGCCCGCGCCAACTGGTGCCACGAGCCCGCTGTCAGGTACCCGAAGATGCACTCGTAATCCTGCTGAGCCATTCGCAAGCCCACGGCGCTGCCAGAAGCCACGATGCTGCCGAGCTTCTCCAACAGCCTCCCCTTGGAAACCTCGGACCAGGGTTGCGCTGCGACGAGAGACGAGAGGGTTGTCACCTGCGTGGGCTGCAGCCTCGCGCTCCCGAAAGCCTGCACGAGCATCCTTTCCTGCGTGTCCGCCACCGCATCGAAACAGGGCTGCCCTTGCACTGCTTCGAGCAATCGCCCGACGGCCTCGACTTGGTCGCGCAAGCGCTGGGCAGCCATATCTACGGCACCAACAAAAAAACGCGCGGGCTTGCGCATGCAAGCGGCTTCGAATGATGGCGCAGCGGGGGCGGCATGGGCAAGGGCCTCATAGCGAATTCATCGCTTATAGCGAATTGATCGCTCAGATACTTGCACAGCGAATTGATCGCTCAGAGAACCCCATAGCGAATTGATCGCTCATACCCAGGAATG